GAAGGAAGGTTTACTTTATTGTGAATGCTGGCTGCTTGGTGCTTGTCAGTGCAATTACTTTCCACTCAAGTGGCTCGCTTTTTTAACATTTTATTATCTTAAAACAAAACCCCTGAAAGCAATAACTGTTTATTATGCTAATTCTTTAGATATTTTATTATGCATGTCTATAAAATGATTAAACATTGCTTTGCCCCAGAATGAAAAGAATTTATTAATATGTAGTCAATTCATGATAAAAAAAAAGACAGAAATAAACACACTGTACTGGTAATTAGTCATTAAGTATTCAATTTTATACATTTATAAGCTGTATCATAAGTTTTCCTTTCACTTAGCTTCTAACTAACATTCCTAAAATCATTCTAAGTAGATTTTAAAATTCCACTCCTGCTTAGAAAAAAAAGTAATATAGTCAATTGGCACTATAGCAGATTTTTAAAAAAAATAATGATATCAGGGCTGTGTATAATTCATGCATAAAGCATTTAAATATAAATCTAACTAATAAATAAAACTACAGACCTTTTAAAGTACTTTTAATGTATCAATGTTTTATTAACTTCAGCTATAAACCATATACCAAACTTTCATTATTTTTCAACAACATACTGTAACTAAAGATAGAGAGAGACAACCCACTGTTTTTATAGTTACTGGTAAATGTGAACATTTTCTGTATATTTCAATGTGATGTATCAATTTTTACTCACTTTTACTATGCTGATACCGTGTTATGATTTTATAGGATGATTTGACTAATCAAGAAACAATAAATTAAATTTGCAACTATTCCCATTACAAAATTTCCTCCTTCTCTTTGGAAACTATGCCTGTTTAAGAATGATGCACATTTTTAAAAATTCATAGTTCACTTCTTCATGGAACAAAATGGCCGAGCCATGTTACTGTTTTTTTTATATATGTAATCAGAAAAATTGACCAGAAGGGAGCTAGTCTATAAATGGCTTTTTGTTTTACAATGCTTGCATACATAAAAAAAAGGAGACCCTAGTTCCATTTTCTGAAAAGTGTATCTCTTTCCACTACATAGGTTTATATTAAATAAATTAAAAATTTCTCCTATAGATAGCAGATAAATCTGAAATGTTTACCATCTGTTTCTAATTCAGAAGTTCATAATCAAATGAGATCTGAACCACTAATCACTTTCAGTTTATGCTGTATTTCCAAAGAAAGCTGTTTGCACAAATAGTAATATATAAGCCAACAGAAATTTGCTTCTTGATCACCGTAAGTCATGACTTAAAGACAATTTGCAGTATCAAGGCAAATGACATCTTTCAAAAACAATGAAAATTGCCTTTTGAGGAGAATACCTCTGTTTTTCAATAGCTTCCCTTATCAATATGAAGACAAAAAGGAGCCTTGCTTTATAAGCAAAACCAAAACCAGATGCAAAACTTTCCCTTACCCAATTCATACACAAAACTACTTTTACTCTTTTTTTTCACCCTTCTAACATATTGTCATTCCACAGCCACAATAGGCCAATCTAGGAAAAAATGATAAGAGATTGCTGAAACAAACAAAATTCAAAACCCTGTCCATATATCCATAGTTTCTGCTATGGAAATAAAACATCATCCTAATCCACATATTTTACAGTATTTCTGTTCAAAGTCAAATTTCTGTACGAAAAAGAAGTTATTTTTCTCCCTTTTTTCTTGCTCTTCAATGTTCCTAATGTTATTTTTATGAAGATTGTATTATTTATTATTGAATATTTTTAATACTATATTCCACCCTGAGAGTTCATCTTAATTCTTCTGGCACAATTTAAAATAAAATACAAAAAATGGTGTAGTAATTAACCATATGTAATTGTGAAATTAACTAAAAATCAGTTCATAGAATGTTTAATTGGACACAAAGAACAACAGATTTTTTTTATTTCTTATGAAATACTAGCAGGACCAGTATTTTCCTAAACTAAGTTAGTTTTCACAGTTGTGAAAAAGTATTACATAATACTTAATATTATATAATGCAGAGTACAGGATGCAACACCTCAAGGTAAAAAGTTTTTATACAGGGCTGTTAAGGAAAAATTGCTATTCTGAATAGTTCTAGTCTAAAATTGGGGCATGTAAATGTATTTTTGTCCTCCAATTGAATCCTTCCCAAGGACTTGAGAGGCAGATTTTGTCTGATGATTAAAGGTATTGTTGCAGGATGTAAGTTGTTCCAAGTAAAAATGTTTTTTTGCAATTGATTGATGGTGGTTTTGTCACTGCCAATGGTGTTTAAGTGGTGCTCCAGATGTTTTAAGATTGCACTCAAGGCATCTATTGATACTACCTTTGCTTTCTTTTGCCATGGTCACTCTACTTCTATTTACAGGTTTTTAGATTTCTCTTCTATGTTGTTGTCTTCTAGGTACTGCAATGTCTATTATCCAGATGTTTTTTTTAAAATTTATTTTATAATTTATTAATTGTTAAATCTGGACTGTTGTGTGGTGAATGCTTGTCTGATTGAGTCAAAGAGCACGTTAGTTTCTTCGTTTTCTATTACTTTGTTTTGTGGTCCCATTAGTTCTTGCTTGCAGGCAACTGATATTTCTTGCAGATATTCTAATACACAGTTGTTTCTACTTTGTCATGCTGTTGCTTGTAATCAGTCTGTAAAATCTTGCAGCAGCTAACTAGGTAATCCACCATCATATGGAATGGGCCTTCTCTGCAAGTGTTTGTGTTTGACAGTATGGGTCAAACGCACATTTTTCCATTTATTTTGAGAGAGTTGTCACAATGCTCAGACTTCCACAAAAATCCAAATGTGACCCTATATATTTTCATTATATGAAGAAAACCTGTTATATAAAAAAGAAATTAATTTGGGAGCACTAGAAACGATGGTGATGGCATTACATGAATAACACAAGGCAAAATTCAAGTATCAAGTTGATATTTGTGAATAACCATTTTATTTATTTACTACTTTATTTAATGTAATCATATCTTCCCATATAAAATACTCAAATTATTCAATAGGATAAACCAATAGAGATATTAAATAGTATAAACAAAAATAATTAATAATTAAAACAGCAGCTCCAAACATAATACTGTCAACAAAATGACACTTTTAAAAATATACTAATATAACACACCTCCCTAGGAAAGAATTTCAAAAATGTCATTTATGGGAGCCTGATCTAATAGTTCAGCTATTGAATCTGATCTTAGTGCTCCAGCAGATTAATCTACGGTAGGTAGAGGAAGTCTATGAATCAAGTCTCAAGCAATGAAAGTTTTTTCAAAATAAAATCCAAAAGTTTATGACCCCAGAAATTTACTGGCAACAAAGTAATAAATATTTTTTTACTGTCCTATTTGGGTCATCTGTTATGGTAAGTACATTTCTAGACAGGTCTCCATTAAAAATACATAGAATAATGAGAGAATCATGCTATACCATATTTTCACATTTGTTTCTAAATACATCTGTATATTTGTCTACTGAGTAGACTTTAGAAATAAATCAACTACAAGGAGTGCTATAGACTGTGAAATGTACGTGACCAAGTTCTTCTCCTAGTACTTGCAATTCTGTGTACTGATATATGCCTTATGTTCATATTTCCAAGTACAGCGTATACTATACTGTATTCATTTGCCTATCCAACAGTAACATGTTACAAAGAATTGCTCTCCTTTGTGGAGCTTCATACATAGGAGAGTCTCAAATGTAAGTCCTTCTTAAATTTTGCCCTACCATCAGAAGGGCAGGCACACAATCCATTAATTTGGGTAATGGGGGAACTGGATCTACTACAAAAAAAAAAAAAAAAAACCCTCTGGCAAACATTATGCATTAAATTCACTGTATACAATTCATTGTATTTTACTACAAGGAATTTAGATGCTTGAAGTCATTACATAAAAGACTAGCGTAAAATACAGCTATAATTCTATATTAAAGAATTAAATATTCTTCTCATTCCATTTAAAAATATTATTATTTGAAATAAATAATTTTAGTTTTAAATAAAAATAATAAACTGGAAGGTGGCCCCCAAAATATCTGAACCAGACATCAAGATTCTGTTCTTGAGTAAATTCACTATGAATTCAGTTTCTTAGACATGCATCCAGAGTGAGTGTCAGATTACCATATATTTTAACATGGAACTGAAACTCACACTACAAAATATAAGAGTTATCCTGAGGAGGGATATGCGAAAATTGGTTATAAAAACAATTTTGTGAAGGGTGGTAAAAAGGTAATTCATTTTGTCCTCTTAGAACCATGGAATTTCTTTGAAAAGTAGTTAAAACTACTTTGAAATGAAGGCAGAGGTTTAAAATTATACCTATCGATAAAGATGCAAACTGCTCAGTAAATAGATGGCACTTTAACCTGTCATTACAGAGTAATGTACTTTTAAAATGTTAAGATTCTCTAGGATATATTTTGTTTTCTTATTCAACACAGTTCAGAATTCTTTTCTCTACAAAGGTCTACAGCAAGTTCAAATGATTTCACAATACATTTAGCTGTTAAATAATAGTATTTCTAATGTTAAAAAACAGCCTTTCAAATATTTTTCCATCATCTTTATCAATTTCCTATGTAGGCTCCCAAAGCTCAGTTAACTAATTTATCGTTACAAAAATTTACTTTTACAATGTTTACTTTTAATTACAATTAATTAACATATTTACAAGATTATTAGAATTTTTAAAAAAAATCCTAACCCCCAATAGAGAAACTCTACACAATAGGGAGATTAAGAAGTACATAAAAAATAATCACTCGTAACTAATGAACATTTTTTATAATGAACAACTTGTAAAATTGTTATTGTTATGTTATTTAACTTTCCATGCAATGATGAACAAGTTAGTATTATAAATTTGATAGGTCTATTGCTATCATTGTTGCCTACTTGCTATCCCTTTATCTTGGTGCCAGAGGAATAAACAAGGGGAATAATATTTGCTTTTCTTCCTTTTATTTATATCTCCACTCAGATTCAAAGGAGACAGCTAAAGAAGGAGTAACATCAAGAAGATGGAATAGCAAAGCCAGCAAGTTCAGGAGTTGGCAGTACTATAGAGTTCTGTTGGAGATTGGCTTCAGCAGGTGTCCAAAATAACAATTCAAAGCATTGACCCTGATTAGCATCCAAGATTTCTTCCAAAACATTGTTTACATTCTTTTCTAGATTTATATAGTATTCTTTCTTTTATGTAATTAAAAGGGGGGGGGGGAGAGAGAGATTGTTATTTTGCTGTAAAAAAATCCATTAAGCAATAGTATCATAATATCTTCAACATCTTCATCAATGACTTGGATAGTTGGATAGGGGATAGATGGGAAACTCATCAAATTTGCAGATGACACCAAGCTGGCAGGAACAGACAACACTCCAGAAGATAGGCTTACGATACAGAAGGATATTGACAGACTTGAACATTGGGCGCTATCTAACAATATGAAATTAAATGGTGAAAAAAGTAAGGTTCTACATTTAGGCAAGAAAAACAAAATGCACAGGTACAATATATGTGGTACTTTGCTCAATAGTAGTAACTCTGAGAGGGATCTTGGAGTCCCAGTGGGCAACTATTTAAATATGAGCTAGCAGTGTGCAGCAACTGCCAAAAAGGCCAACACAGTTCTAACAGAGGGATAGAATCAAGATCACGTGAAGTGTTAATACTTTATAATTCCCTTGCATTCAGTTTTGCTCGCCATGATGTAAAACAGATGTTGAGACTCTAGGAAAGAGTGTAGAGAAGAGCAACAAAGATGATTAGGGGACTGCAGCAGGGGTGAAATGCTACCAGTTCAGACGAACCGGTAGTAATAAAAGCTACCTGTTTGGACAAACCGGTATTTCCGACAATCAGCTGTGCCGCACAGGAAAACCTGCTTTCTAGTGAATCTAAATCATGCCAGCTGTTTCCCCCCGCTCACTGTTCTACTTACCTTAGAAAAGACTTAACCTCATTTTTCAGCACTGTGTGGTAGCGCCTGTGGTGCGTGCAAAGCGTGCACAAAGTGCGCATTTGGTATGCATCGCGCATGCACGCTTACAGCGAACCAGTAGCGAAGCGAATTGGTAGCAGACCTCGGAGCATTTCATCCCTGAACTGGAGGCTAAAACATATAAAGAACAGTTGCAGGAACTGGGTATGTCTAGTTTAATGTAAAGAAGGACCAGGGAAGACATGATAGCAGTGCTCCAATATCTCAGGGGCTGCCACAAAGAAGAGAGAGTCAAGCTATTCTCCAAAGCACCTCAGGGTAGGACAAGAAGCAATGGGTGGAAACTAATCAAGGAGAGAAGCAACTTAGAACTAAGGAGAAATTTCCTTAGTTAGAACAATTAATAAGTGGAACAACTTGCCTCCAGAAGTTGTGAATGCTCCAACACTGGAAGTTTTTAAGATGGTTGGATAACTATTTGTCTGAAGTGGTGTAGGGTTTCCTGCCTAAGCAGGGGGTTGGACTAGAAGACCTCCAAGGTCCCTTCCAACTCTGTTATTCTTTTCTATTCTAAATATCTTTATTGCACAAATTAAGAAGTTGTACAAAATTAAGCAAATTTATTTTAATGGATATTGTTTATCAATTTGGATGACAAAAAGGGTCAAAAAAAGTAGATAAACAGATACTGTTCAGCATTTTTATAAGTCCCAATTCTGAAGTTTATCACAATTTATGATATAAACAGAACAGACTCAGGGTAAGTGACAGACCGAGAAAGCAGAAATACTCTTCCTTGAAAATATAAAAATCAGCCTTTATTTGGAGTTGCTATTAGCAGAAACAGACATGAGTCCCTTGTAGTACTGTGCAATAAAGACAGCAAAGAAGAAAGAAAAAGTAATTATGCACTGTATTATAAAAGTCTAATCAAAAAGTTATATCCCATGTTTTCTATTTATAGGTATCCTAATTAACTCCTTATTTTTTATTTTCAAGGAAAAAGAGTTACAATTCTCTAACCTACAGAATATTATGCTCTTTTGCACTAGGAACAGTCTAACCTACTTAAGTATTGAACACTTCCTCCATTTAAGTGAAATGGACTTCAAGTATCCATCATCAGGTCCAGTAATACTTCCATAATAATTAAATTATAATAGTTTTTAACTAAAATTTAGTTTCTGAACTAAAATACAGAATGTTTAATTGTTTCTTTAGGGAAAAGAATATGACATGTAGTGTAGCCTTAAGCATGCTTAGTCAAAGTAAGTTCTGCCAAGTTGAAGGATGTTTAACTAAATATGCATTAGAAAGCAACTTTAAAAAATAAATAGAACATTCAATGTGTGCTGTTCCTGAAGTCCTTCATGTATGTATGTAAACCTGTACATCCAAGAATATTTCACTGAACCAACTTGTGTACACTGAAAATGTGTGTACTGTTTTAAATTTGGAGAATATATTCTGTGGATGATATCCATCAATTTACATGTTGACCCTAAAATTAATTAATTGTTAATTAGTCATAAAGGAAAATACAAATATAACTTTGTTCTAATCAAAATTGCCTCTCTCTCTATACGTTCTATATAAGAAAGCATACTGAAAGCATGTAGTTTATGGCTTTTGAGACTTCCTAATAAATACCTAGATTATGGATTATAATCCTGAGAGATATGAGGAAGGGGCCTTAGAATAGAAGAGGCAGTCCTACGTACCTCTTCCTTAAGGAAGCATTTGAGGATTTTTATGGGTTTTATTTCTCTGAAACTCCATTTAGGATCCGAGCTATTCCTTTTGATAGATTCTCCCATGTCCGAGAAAGTTATGCTGTTGACAAAGCCTCAAGTCCTTTTACCTAATTTTTTCCAACACTAATTTGTGTTGAAATGATAACAAAGATGCTACTTAATGAATACCTTTACAATATTAATTTGACCTTCACTGTTATTTTTCACACATTTATCATAAATATGTGATAATTTTCTTATATTTACCATCTCTCTTTAGCTTTGGTTTTCTACATTATATATTATATTGCTGAACCTTCGGTAAGTTGCATCCAATAATAAACAATAGCCCTAAAAAGTGCTGAACCTATTTTATGTTCATTTTATAGTAATTTTTTTTAATGCTTTCCTCATATATCATGAAGAATCTGGAATCAAAGCCACTGTGGGTATTTTCTTCTGTAATAACAATATTAAAAGTTATGTTGTTCTAACACAGTTGTCATAAGACTAACAGCTGACTGAAGAGAAGCATCTTTCTCTGAGTGATTAATACTGTTTTGACTGTGATTCTGCTTTCGCTTTCCATATCCTAAAACCAAGCTAAGCAACCATTTTCATCTGCTGCAAAGATGAAGAAATTGGATATATCCACTGAAATAGTATTTTGGGACCTATTCTAATAATAAATGAGATCCAGTTTGGTATAATGGTTAAAGCATTAGACTAGAGACCAGGAGGCTGTGACCCTAGCTTTGTGATCTACTTAAAACTTAACCATGATAACTGAAATGCATATATTACAAATTTCATATAAATCATGGGGAGAATCTGTTTTTTAATTCTGCTGCCTGTCCTTAAACTTTTTTTTTTTAGGAATTTTGAATTTATTTTAATATACAAACAAAGAACTGGCTTTTGTTTTTTCTTGCATGGTTTTCCTTATTCTTATTAGATCACCATGTATTTAATATTGAGAAATACATATATGAACGATAGCTATGTGGTATACTGTACATTGCTTATTATATAATTTGTCTCTTACTTGGGATGGTAAATGTAACTGACATCCCAGTCCAAAAACACAAATAAATTAAATATGATTCTGCTGATAAAGATATGATCAACGGTCTCAACCGAAGAACTCAAAAAGTATTGTCAAGAAAAAGATGATATTTCAGAACCTTAAATTATTGCTGACTGAAACATTGTTACCAAGACAATTATTTGAGTCTAAAAGTAAACATCAGCTTCTTGCTTTATACTTGATTATTATATGTGAAAATTTAGTTGAGATCACTAAAATCCTTGATTTCATATTCTTTATTCATATTCGTTAAGGGGCCCAGCAGCCATGATGTAACCGGGAAGGGAAGGGCTGTCTCTTGTGCTGGCCATGCCCACCCCCTTCACTAGGACTTATTTTTGGGACAGGGCATATATTAGGGCCACCCCAAAAAATCAGGCTGGAGCTTATTTTTGGGGTAGGTCATATCTTTTGGGGAAACACTGTATTTACACTTTATATGACTTTTAAGAAGGAATCTGTTGCCCAACTATAAGAGGTGAAAGAGAATGAATTGAGTGTAATCATCACTACATAAAGTTGGCTGCAGAAATAGCCACTAACACAGCCATGCTGAGAAAGTTGGGGGGGGGGAGGGAGAGAAGTGGGTTTTAGTTTAAAATCCATTTCAATCTATCAGTTGTCACTCAGTTCCTGTCTATTAATAATCTATCACTGACAATACTATTTCTAATAGTCTCTTAGAGCTGTGGGTTTAGATCCCAAGTTCACTTTGAAAAGAGACAGAGGTTAACACTGATTAATGTCCATTATCTTTTTCTGCTCATACAACCATTCAACCTTACCTAAAAACAGATGAACTAATTAAATCCACCCCAGAAGTGTTGCAATGTGTTATCACTTCCCTGGTAACAAAGACAGGAGTAGGAGTTTGAATATATGAGCTTTAAAAAAAGCTTGCTACTGAATATTAAATTGTAATATAATCCATTTTTCCTCTTCGCAATAACTTCTAAAATTTCAGATGGCATCAAATGGTAAGTAGGTTCTCACGTTCTCCATCTGTTCCTTTTACACAAAGCATTTGTACAGAGGAAATATAAGCTCTGACCATGTAATTCCCACTGATAAGATGAATGACAATCTTTTGTAAAAAATTTACAACCGTCAATTGATACATAACATAGGTATTGTATAATAAACAAAGAAATAAAAGAGCTACACAGAACCCGACCATATGCAGGAAATGAGAACAATTTTATTAGAAGTATGCCAGTTTGGTTTAGTTGTTAAGGCACCAGGCTAGAGAGCAGAAGACTGTGAGTTCAGGTTCTGCCTTAGCCATGATAGCCAGCTGGGTGACTTTGGACCAATCATTCTCTCTCAGCCCGACCCACCTAACAGGGTTGTTGTTGTGGGGAAAATAGGAGAGGGAAGATCTGTTGGATATGTTCGTCATCTTATTTATAAAAAC